TATATATATATAGCAATTTACAGCTTCCTGTTTCAACTGTGTGTTCTCAATGAGAAACAGATTTTAAAGAGTCTACTGTATTTTCGGTTTTATAAGTGTGACAAAGTGGTCAAATCACTCGCATTGCAAGCATACAAGTGGAATAATTAATTATTATGCTAATGTGTGTGTACTTGTTTCTACTACAGAGTGAGGACCACTTGTGCTATAGTTATGTCAAAGTGAGGTCTTTGATATAAAGTGAGGACCTCTTCAATGTCCTCACTTTGTTAGCAGCTCTGTGCTTTACTAGTTTGGTTTAGAGGTATGGTGTGATTTAAGTTTGGGTTCAGTTTAGGGTTAGGTATAGACCAGTAATGGTTAGTTTTAAGGAAAATGTCTGGGCTAGGCATAAATAAAATGAACACATAAAAATGAATAAAAGTCAATAAAGAAGCACACAGGGTGCACAAGGTGAAGAAGTGACTGAGGCTGTGAGTCAAATGCAGTCGGGTCCAGGGATTTATTTAAGTCTGACAGCGTCAGGAGAAAATATTGCAATAAAAACTGCATCCCGCTTTGTAAACGAGGGTGGGAGCAGCGAAAGCTTTGCACTTGTGTGATCATTTGTAGTCTCTTTCCCACTGACTGCAGCTAGGGTTTGCTGCATGAGGCTTCAGTGAGTCGGACCACTTGTCAGTGCTTTGGAAACCTTGCTGCTCGCTGAGGAAAGTGCCGGCACCAAAGTCTCCAATAACACCAGGAAGTCACTAGATTTGTTGCTTTTTTGGGGTAAAAAAAGGAGTTGTTTGAGGGGCCTCAAAACTTGTTAAATCTAGAGGTATAGTCACTAAGTTGGCAACGCTGCTAATGCTCTGTAGCTGCTCCGAGAGAGACTCGCTCACTTTGAGAGGAGAAATATCCTTTGGTGATTGATTAGGTTTTTCTCCTGCACCTGCACATCTTCTCCACTTCCCCCAGCAGCACCTTAACACGCACAAAAAGCTGCCAAGGCTCCAATTAAACTAATCTGGAACAAATTGAATTGTCATACATTTTCCTTCCCAAGAACTGACTTGAAAGTTTAAGCACAAGAATAAATGGAATAATTTTTTTTTTCTGAATGAGCCACCTGAGTTAGGCTCCTGTATTTTTTGTATACAGTATATATTTCCAAAAAGATTACTGCAAAGATAAAATTAGCTATTCATTAACTATATTCCAAATCATAAAAATATTGCATGGTTTTAGATTCGAACCAAATTTATTTTCCTCCAGCCCTTCTCGTGGCTCGTGTAATGCTTAAAGCATTTGTCTGTGTTATCACATATGATGCTGTGGTCTGTGAGCGGCATCATTGGTCCAAACATTCTCACATAGCCTCCACTTCCTATCTTTTTTTTTTTACATTCACCTTTCAATTGTAACAAACAAGAAATATAAAAAAATACACTGATATTTATTTCTTAAATCTAGACTTTGATTAAAGGAAGCTATGTGAAAATGTAATTTAAAAAAATAATGGAGATAAATTTGGGATTATGTTAAAATAATTCTAGCCACGTCAATTCTAGACGTCATGTTTTCACATCTAAAAACGAACTGAATGATGCATTACTGAAAAAGAAAGAAAGAGAATTGGCCGGGCACTCTGCCGGGGAGTTGCCTGTCGCTTGCGATAAATGAATGTGTGCTTACTGATGATGAAGATCATGAGAAGCAGTGATAGTGGTTCTTTTGATGTCCATGAAACCAAATGGTCAGAAAACTGTCTTACCGGTTTCATGTTAGACTGTAAGAGCTTTGACTTGTAACACAGATGGATGTTGTATCATATTTTTCTTTGGTAATGTTGAATAATAGCAAATGAGTTTGATAAGAACTCTTTGCGATTGTTCGATTCCATCGTTTCTCCACTGTCCTGTCTGATTTCTGCAACACTGTTTTATTATTTTCATGTCTGGACACCAGGGGAAGCAGCAAAGGCAAAGACATCAGTACCATCAAATCCCTCCGTGTGTTGAGGGTTCTGCGTCCACTTAAGACCATCAAACGTCTGCCTAAGTTAAAGGTAAAGTTCAGCAGATGTACTGATTTGGTTGTTTCCAGAAGCATTTCCTGTGAAGTTTTGTTCTGGAGAAAAACTCACACCAGCTGGTAAAAGGGATCCCCGATTAGTTGTAACATTAGACTTTATTTGATTAACATATATTTTAACTGTAAAATAAAGACTGTAAAAATACTGTAGGCCTTCAGGGTGGATAAAGCTCGCTAGCAGCCTCGCACCGAGGACCTATCCACGTCATCATTTACCCAGAATGCTTTGCGTGTAAATAAAATGGCCCTGTCCGTGTTAAAATATATTTTTAAAAATTTACAAAACTAAACAGGCTACAGTATTTTTACAGTCTTTACGTTACAGTTAAAATATATGTTTATCAAATAAAGTCTAATGTTACAACTAATCGGAGATCCCTTTAAAACCTGTCTTGTTGAACAAAGCTTAGTCCCAGTGACATCTTTTTTTTGTAATAAATATGAAAGCATTTTTTGAAAGAACATTGATATACTGCATAAAAAAGTTTTTTAAAAAAATCATGCCGCTGAGATAACAGTTGTTGAACAAATAACAAGAAGTAACGAGATGTGAAGTCAAAGGAGAATGTCTGCATTTGAACAGAGCATCCTGCACTGGAGATTTATCCAATGGCTAACAACACGGACTGTAGAGAAGAATCTGAAGTTACTTTAGACTATGTTGAGTCTGTATCAGAGAGAGATGAAGAAGAGTAAGAGGTTAAATAATATTGTTTCAATAAACAAAGATCAGGGAGTTCCTTTTCTTCATGTCACTTCCTCTTTCACTTTAGCTTTACTCAAGTATTAAAGAAAATATGCCAAGTATGTGACACAATTGGTAAAATTGTGTTTATCGTGCCAGGTTTCTTAAATATAAAGATTTTTTTATTTTTTACTTTTTGTATTTGAAGGATGCACATCACACACTTTAAAGTTAATGATCTGTCGTTGAACTGACTGCAAATTCTTATTATTCAAACTGATATTATTTTTTTATTTAAGACCTGCAGAACAAGATTCTGGTTATTACTGGGGTTTATCAGTTGATCCTCTTTTAATACTTGTTCGTTCTACCAGCTAATATCTACTCATAAATCCTCTCCTTTTTGCCTTGCAGGCAGTGTTTGACTGTGTGGTGAACTCTCTGAAGAATGTATTGAACATCCTGATTGTCTACATGCTCTTCATGTTCATCTTCGCTGTTGTGGCTGTGCAGCTCTTTAAGGGCCGCTTTTTCTACTGCACAGACGAATCCAAAGAGTTTGAACGTGACTGCAGGTCAGCTAAAAAAACACTAAAGTTTACCTGTTAGTCCTCAAGTTTTACTACTAATAAACTGTGAAAATATTTTAAAAATTGCAAGTAAAGTCATACCACTGTTGTCATTATTAATCCCACTACACCCTGTATTGAAAATGTATTAAGAGTTCGATTTTTGTGATTGAAATTGTGTAGACTTTGGAATTTTTTTTATTTTTATTTTTTTCTCCTAGGCTTTGGAATTTTCTTGAATTTTAGACGTGCATGTGTTTTCACCTAGAAGACATTTTTTTATTTTGTCAAAGAAGAAGTCAAATTCATGAAAGGACTGAAGCATCCTCTGTTTGAAGTCACATTTAAACAGAAAACAGTAGACTTGTAGAGTGTATATAGGTGCTTTTTTACATTGTTTCTGTGCGTTTGTATTTTTTATGTATTTTTATTCTACACTACCAGTCAAAAGTTTTACAACACCCATGTTTTTTATTTGAAATTCAAGCAGCTCAGGTCAAATGAACAGTTTCATAAGGTGCACAGGTAAGTGCTGAACTGCCAGAGGTTAAAAAAACAAAACAAAACTGAAAGTCAATGTGTCTGAGTCCTGTTTCCTTCACCATCACAATGCACTCAGATTTTGGTGGAAACTCTGACAGGAAGAGGTGTGGCAGACTCAGAGCCACAACAGCATCAGATGACAAGTTTCTGAAAGTCCACTGCATTTGTGATAGGTGGCTCACAGGCCCTCAGCTTCAAACACAGCTTAGTAAGCAGTCATAGAAAGCAAGTCTGTTTTAACTGTGAAGAGAAGACTTGGTGTTGCAGGTTGACAGTTCAAGTTGCAGCAAGAAAACCATCTCTAAGACCTCAGAATAAGGAAAATAGGCATGTCTGGACCATTAAACACTACCAGTGTGTGAAAATCGAGCCAGGCAGGATTGACCCAGGCCAGGGCGCAGGCAAAGTCCAGAGTGCAAGAATGGATATTTAATAAATGAACAGCTGTTGAGGCAGCAAAAACTTTCGAGGGGAACACAAAGCACAGGGAGACATCCACAAAGGGCTGGGTAAACAGCAAAATGAACCATGAGGGAAGAAAAGACAAGACACAGAAAATAAAGGTGAATAGACGAGGGAGTGATTGGACACATTTGGTAAGGAAACATGAGGATCATGTGTACCTGGGAGGGAACACAGAGGCAGCTATACACAGGGAAACAGAAAACTAGAAAAAGCAAAGTAACATAAACACAGACCATGACAGAGTGGACCTGTAAAGACTGGAAGAAGGTCTTGACAGATGAATACAAATTTGAAATCTGCAGTTCATCACTTCCCTTTGTACCTTTTCAAGCTGTTCATTGGACTTGAGCTGTTTGAATATCAAATTTCAAAAACTGAAACAACGAGGCTGTTCTAAAACTTCTGACTGGTAGTGTATGTATATTTGTGAAGATGTTTATGTGAGTGTGTTTTTTTTCCTTCCCACTGCAGAGGCGAGTTTTTAGTTTATGAGAAAGATGAGGTGAAAGCTGAGAAGCGGGAATGGAAGAAGTACGATTTCCACTACGACAACGTAGCTTGGGCCTTGCTCACCCTCTTCACGGTCTCAACTGGAGAGGGGTGGCCACAGTGAGTACAATCCTCACACACAACCAAGTGAAAAATATACAGGGTGAGTCAAACTAACCCAAAAAGTTGCAACAACAACTGGGAACATTGCCACTGATGCACAGCTATTTGGCATGTTCAGTGTGCTGAACACATAGCTGATGGTGCAGGATCCAATCATTAACTCACATAAGTATCTCTGTAGAAAGGCTGTCACAGTCCAATTCTATCTTTGATTACCTGTGACAAGAAAAGTGACTTCTTTGGTATGCTACATGACCCCTTCCCATTGGAAAAGTTTTACTTTGATCCAATAAGACGGCCATGTTCCAGACACACTCACCTATTATTTGCAGAGGTTTTAAGATATTTAATTTTTCCCTTCTATGTAGTAAAAAGGGTGTCTTGAGACTTTTGAATAAACCTGAACATGCAATTATACCTGTTGATGATCTAGCCTAACATTCTAAATTTTAGGTTTTACCGTTTAAGTTATTTATTTTAACCCAGAACTCATTGTTCTGAAGACTACTTCCATAAGGGGTACTAAATGCAAATTTATTGTTAGTGTTCTATAAAAAACTACTTCTGCCATATAATAATTTTTAAATGACCAGAAACAGCAATATAGTAATGAGGTTAACTTTTCATTTGCCAAAATACTCACAAAATATCACTCATTGCCAGAAAAACTTTTAACACAATGAACAGAGGTGGAGCAACATTTTTGGCAACATTAGTCAGACTACAAACCCCATTCAGTAAATTGGTTGCCAAATAATAAAGATTGATAAACCAGTCATTTAAAAAAATCCCAAACGTCATTGCTTTACTTGTGAAGACATGTTCTTGGGAGTTGTAATGCTACCTTATACTACATAAACTGAAAATACAAGATGACACCTGGTCTCTTGTGCCTTTTTTAATTATTTTTTTGAGTTGTTTGTTTTTGCCTTCTTTTACAACAGTGCCACAGATAATAATGGTTATTTTCTTAATAGTCATTATTTTATTTAAGCTTATTAATGAGTTTGGTGATGCCTGATTAAAAGTACCGGTACTATTGAGTTAAGTTGCAATATCCTCCAGCTACAAGGGTGGTTGTCAGGGGTTGCAAGTGTTGTTTCAAAGATTGTTGTTTTTGTTGTTTTGTTAATTGATTGCAATTGCTCAAAGATTACCTTTTAGTATTAAAAACCCCACAGAGCAGACAGGTGTGGGCCAAATCTGGCGTCAAACTGGCTGACTGCTGGCATGTGGTTTGTCAACCACATGTGTTCCAGGTCTGCTAATGATGGCACTGTTTTTAAGATGCCATGCCACAACTGGCCCAGTTGGGGTTTGATTTATGTGCTGCTTTCCCATTCATGGACCACATCTGTCCAAACACCAATGGAATGGAATAGAATTCAACTTTGTCATTGCACATCACAAGTACAAAGCAACAAAATGCGGTTTGCATCCATCCAGAAGTTCTTAGCAAATATATATATTACAAATGTACAGTAAATTACAGTATAAGTAATTGAGAGTACTTATGAATGGGAGTAGATTATCTATACAGTTTACACAGTAAACTGTATAGATAGATAGGTGTTTCAGTCCATGTGTTGTTATTGTGTGTACGAGGATACAGTTTGTCATTGTGCAGATGTCAGGAGGCAGAGTTCAGAAGTGTGACAGCTGTGAAGAAAAATCTGTACCTGGTGGTCTTAGTCTGGAGGCTCCTGTAGCGCCTTCCAGAGGGCAGGAGCAGTCTGTGTGCTGGGTGACTGGAGTCTTGGATCATTTTGCCAGCCTTTTTCAGACACTGCTTCATGTAAATGTCCTCAATGACAGAAGGTGGTGCTCCGGTGATGCGCTGGGCGGCTTTATTGTCAATGATGACAAACCACTTTTACAAAAAAGTTTTTAATTTTCTACAAGTTCTAGACTAGATCTGGCAAACCAGAGTGCAAAATAACTTAGACAAAATTGAAATATTGTTTTACTCTTTCATCTATTAATTCATTTAAACCTTTCTTTGTTTTGTCTTTTCTACTTTTAGGGTGTTAAAGCACTCGGTGGACTCCACTTTTGAGGATCAGGGCCCAAGCCCAGGTTACCGGATGGAAATGTCCATCTTTTACGTGGTGTACTTCGTTGTCTTCCCTTTCTTCTTTGTAAACATCTTCGTGGCTCTCATCATCATCACTTTCCAGGAGCAGGGGGATAAGATGATGGAGGACTACAGCTTAGAAAAGAATGAAGTAAGGGCAGCTTTAGAAAGGAATGATGTTTCTTAAAAAGCTGATGTCTCATTTTTAATGTTTTTCAATATTTAAAAGCCAAATGTATTTTTCTTTAATATTTTCTTTTCTATACTTCTTCAGAGAGCCTGCATAGATTTCGCCATTAATGCCAAGCCTCTGACTCGTCACATGCCAAAGAACAAACTTAGTTTCCAGTATCGCATGTGGCATTTTGTTGTATCGCCTCCCTTTGAGTACAGCATCATGGCTCTGATTGCACTCAACACTATTGTCCTCATGATGAAGGTACCAGAGCAAACCTAATACAGGGTAGTTAGGTCTGTGTACTTTTTGGTCATTTGATTTTGTTTTAAAAGAGATACAGAAAAAAAAAGAATGGTTATTTGTTTTTTCATTTTAAAAACAGATATTAGCAAAAAGAAAAATGGATGGTTTTTTCTATTTTCATTTTATCCTGCAAAAATGGAAAAACGGTCCATCTTGTTTTTTTTTAGCTAAAAGTTTACACCATTGTCAAGGCAACTCAACGCTGTGCAGTGGAACCTGTTGCTGCTTTCAGTTCCTCACCATGGACCTCTTGGAGAAAGAATTCATGTGCTAAAAGCACCAGAAACTCCAGGAAACAGTTTAAATAATCAGTGATATAAAAACTTTAAGCTGACACCTGTTAAAGAACTGTCAAGCTAATCAATCAGCTTTTTTATTGTGGATGGCTGATTTGCAAAACGTGTTTATTCATCATGTAAGAAAGCGTGATGAAAAATTAGAAGCCAGAATAATTGCACAGAAAATCAAATGAATACTCAGTTGAAAAGATTTATTCTTCAGCTCTTAAAGGGGCAATATTATGTGTTTCTCAGGCATATATTTAAATACTATACCATAATAAAGTATCTACACTCACCGGCCACTTTATTAGGTACACCACGCTAGTAACGGTTTTGTGGTCATAAAGGGATGGACATGGTCAGCAACAATACTCAGGTAGGCTGTGGCGTTGCAACGATGCTCAATTGGTACCAAGGGGCCCAAAGAGTGCCAAGAAAAGATTCCCCACACCATGACACCACCACCAGCAGCCTGAACCGTTGATACAAGGCAGGATGGATCCATGCTTTCATGTTGTTGACGCCAAATTCTGACCCTACCATCCGAATGTTGCAGCAGAAATCAAGACTCATCAGACCAGGCAACGTTTTTCAGCCTCAGTTTCCTGTTCTTAGCTGAAAGGAGTGGCACCCGGTGTGGTCTTCTGCTGCTGAAGCCCATCTGCCTCAAAGTTCGACGTACTGTGCGTTCAGAGATGCTCTTCTGCCTACCTYGGTTGTAACGGGTGGTTATTTGAGTCACTGTTGCCTTTCTATCAGCTCGAACCAGTCTGCCCATTCTCCTCTGACCTCTGGCATCAACAAGGCATTTCCGCCCACAAGACTGCCGCTCACTGGATGTTTTTTCTTTTTCGGACCATTCTCTGTAAACTCTAGAGATGGTTGTGCGTGAAAATCCCAGTAGATMAGCAGTTTCTGAAATACTCAGACCAGCCCTTCTGGCACCAACAACCATGCCACGTTCAAAGGCACTCAAATCACCTTTCTTCCCCATACTGATGCTCGGTTTGAACTGCAGGAGATTGTCTTGACCATGTCTACATGCCTAAATGCACTGAGTTGCCGCATGTGATTGGCTGATTAGAAATTAAGTGTTAACGAGCAGTTGGACACGTGTACCTAATAAAGTGGCCAGTGAGTGTATGTCACCGTTAGTTGTTATTAAAATGCTGTTTTTATGTTTAAATAGAAAATAAACTTATCTTCTCATCACTTCCTCTTCTAAACACCTTGACATTGGCCTCTGACTCTTTAAGAACCACCTTCTGCTTCTGTCCCGCCCATTTCAGCGCACAGGGGGTGGGGGGTTCGCACGCGCGCTATGATGCAGCTTACTTGGCATTTGAAAATACATTTCCTCAAAGGTCTTTTGAATCTGAAAAGAGCATCACTGAGTGAGGTAGTGTTAGGAGCTCAGCAGACAGTTTCAACTTCTCCTTCTGCTTCTGCTGCTGGCAACGCTAAAAACTAGAGATGTGACGTTCCTGAACGATCCGAATCTTTTGAACGGCTCTTTACAACGAACGATAGGAGCCAAGTTGCGGCCAGTAACAGGACATTTGTAGTTTTATTTCTTTTGTTCCTCATATGATCTTTTCATTTTTTCATACTTAAATGGCTCCCGCTTTGCTTTTTCAGGAAAAACAGGTAGAGCAGTGGAGTAAAGAAGCTCACGGGGGAAGTGGTTGGGGGGTTTCCACTTGATAAAACACATTGGTTCTACCCATGTAACAGGGCGACGTCATCACGTTGCGGTACGTGATGACGTATTTCCCTACATGATGACGTAACTCATTCAAAATCAAACGGCTCTTTTGAACGGCTCTATGAAACAAATGGCTCCCCAAGATCCGGATCCCTTCAAAGAGCCATTTATCCCTTCTCTACTAAAACCTCCTCGAAGTCTTGAGTCTAACGTGGACATAACAAAACCCAAACATCCTGGTCACCCCACCCCTTTTTACATTGTCACTCTTACATTGGTATGTTAACAAGTACTTGTTTATCCTGCTGAGGAGGGACACATTACATAGTAACATACTGATTATCTTCCCGTTTAAAGTAAATTACTCTAACTGATCACAAAGTGTAAAATGTAAGACTATATCTAAAATTCAGTTAATCGGTCACAAAGTCTCTTTCAATCCCATTACCAGACCATTTAATGTGGAACTAGATGAGTTCTTTAGTTATCTAGTTTTAGTTATCTTCAAGTTTGATACTAATAAAAAGATTGTCATTTACCAATTTTTGGAGTATAAAATAAAAATAGAATAACCATTAATTTTCTGTTTTTCAGTATTTGTTCTCAAAACTAAAATTGAATGACCAAAAAGTAGATGGACCTAACTGAAACACTACACTGAAAAAAAAAAACTTTTTTCAATAACTTTTCTCATTCTTTTTCTGTCTTTGTTTGTCAGTTTCAAGGTGCATCAACATCATATGATAATGTCCTAAAGTACCTAAACATTGTGTTCACCACTTTCTTCTTTATGGAATCAATCCTTAAAATCATCGCTTTTGGCTGTGCGGTAAGGCTTACGTGATGCAGTTACACCTACATACAAACCTTGTTCTTTTCTAGGTTGACCCGGTCTGTAAGTGCTAGAGTTTCATTGCATTTTTCATTTATAAAACAGGATATTTCCGTAGACAGATCTAGAGCATGTTCTTTCTGTTCCTAAAAAAAAAAAACAGAACAGATTGTGTTGCAATAACCCCTCCTTGTTCAGCAGCAGCATTGACCACCAGTTGTGTTTCTGGCATAGATATTTATTTAAAGTAGGCAAAGAAAGCAACATGGGTTAAAGCCAAAACAAAACTAAAGAATTAGAATTTTCTGCAAAAATGCTGTGTGAGTGCTTATTGCTGAAAAGGTTTTGCTGAATAGCTAAAAAAGCTGAAACTAGCCTAAAAATAAGCATAAGTATTATATTATTACATTATATACAATATATCATTAGTAGTATATAATTAAGAAAAAAGTAACTATAATAGCTGAAATTAGCAAAAAAAAAGAGACAGCTTTACACTTCAATCATTTACTCATCATACACATTCACACACTGATTGTGGTGAGTTACATTGTAGCCACAGCTGCTCTGGGGAAGACTAACAGAAGCGTGGTTGCATGCACCAGCACCATTGGCCCCTTTGACCACCACCAGTAGGCAAGGAGGGTGAAGTGTCTTGCTCAAGAACATAACAACTGAGACGGATGGAACAGGGGATCAAACTGGCAACCTACCAGCTACAGGACAATTCCCCTAACCACTAGTGAATATAGAAAACAGCTGAAATTAGCAGAAAGCAGCTGAAAGAATCATCAATAGCTTAAAATAACAGAAAGAAACTGAATAAAGCATAAGAAAGTTGAAATGATCAAAAGATTAGCAGAAAAGTTCAGAATCGTAGCTAAAATAGCAGAAAAAAGCTCAAATCAGCAAAATAGTAGCTGAAACTAGTACAAAGGAGTTAAAAGATGCCAAACCATAACAAAAGCTAGAAAGTACAGAAAAAGAGTCTAAAGAAGAGGTCTATAAAGTACTTGAAAGAAAAAACCAATTAAAAGTAAAAATATGCTTAACGGAAAATGACTGGTAAAAAATGGGTATCCCTGATTAAAAAAAAGAACCTAAGTAAAATTCATAAAACTGCTCACAATAATTGGGAAAGTAAAAGTACTTTTACACACACTCTTAGAAATAAAGGATTTACTTAAGCAAACTGGTTCCACTAAAACAAGTTGAGTAAATTGAGCAATGTTTACGTTTAATTTTAAAGAAAACGTAAATTCTGGATCATTTACTCAACTCAGTTTAGTGGAACCAGATAACATAACTTGGTTAAGAAAATTCAGCACATTTTTTTTATTTATCATGCATAAACCACTACTTTCGTCATGAGTCCAGTCATGTTAATATTTGTACCCAGTGGTGGGCAGCACTGATCCAAAAATTAGTTCCACTACCCCTAAAGCACTAACTCAAATATTTACATCCCCTAATTCTAAAGCACTAACGCACTGAAAAATTTAGCAAAAGCTAATTCTAAATCACTAAAATAACCTAGTCAACCCATGAACACTGTTCAACAGACAACATGAGTCACATATTGCCATGTTGCTCTCTTGAGCCTTACCATCGACATTATATTGCCATGTTTGAGTTAATTTATTGTCACCTAGTGGATAAGTAACACATATATGAACAAAATGTGAAACAGCTTTCACCCTCAGCTCTTAACATTTGCGTTGATCAATAACATTTATATACCTCAGTTAGTGCTTATAAATTTAGCTTATAAATTTAGCAATTGCTAATCCACTAACAAATTTTAAATTTAGCAAAAGCCCTAAAGCACTAATCAGGAAACTAGTTCCCCTATTAGTGCTTTAGTGCTTTAGGGGAACTGTGCCCACCACTGTTTGTACCTTATAAAAGATATTGTGAAGTTTTAAAGTAAAGAAGTAAAAGTGTCCTTTTTAGATTTTGAATGTAGTGAAATAAAAGTAAAAGTTACAATTAAAAAAAATACTTGGCAAAATTACAAATCCTCAAAAAACTGACTAGAGCACTGTAACGAAGCCACTGCTTTTCTACGCAGTTTTGCTCAATTCTAATCTCCCTTCACTGCTCCGTCTGGGAATTCTCCCATAGACAAGGATTTTTCTGGTAGTATTTCAACTGGGCCAATCAGCGAACAGAAGAAGTTGTGAACGATGACATCAAAGTCTACCTGCAGTTAGCAATGGCATTGAAGGACATGAATACAGCCATTCAGTCCATGTTGACAAGGCTTCCAAATTAAATAAAATTCTTATGACGTCTGTAGCGCTCATTTACAGCCATCTCATTCGGCTCGGTACTAGTCTCATCCCAGTAGTGGATGGTTGTTCACAGCGCACGCAATGTCAACCTGGCGCACTACATATGTATGTCATAGCATTAGTGATTAGGTAAAATCCTGATCCAGTCATTTTCGACTTCGGAGTCCACACCTCCAGCAAGCAATCATTTCTCAATAGTTGAGAGTCCAGACTCTCTGTATGTAGCAAAGCAAAGCATAAGGGACTGGTTTGGTTTGGAGGACGTTGAAGACAGCTCTGACCATTTTCCATGACAAAAAATGGCAGAAAAGGATAAATATCTAAAAAAAACATAAGTTGCTGAAGTACCAAAGTCATAGCATGAATGTCCTGTAGGAGCTGAACATTTTGATAAATTGTTGAAACACAAATTTCTTGATAAGTATTCACACAATAAACACCGTGAATTGGACATTTCTCTGAGTAAAAAATAAAAAATACATCTCACATTATCATTGTTTTATTTATTTGTTTATTATTTATTTATTTATTTATTTATTCATTCATGTTATGGAATAATTATGTATATCTGTTTTACCTTGACACTGTCCAGTAATCATAACTCATATGATAACTAGTTTCGGCTGTTTTAATCTATCGGCCCAGACTTAAAGACTCCAGTAATGCACGACCCATTTTATTTTGATATTTATTAGGTATTGCTTTTTGTTCAAATATTCATTTTTTGGAATACAGTTAATTCTTATTAGTCACATGATGCATAAGAAAACAATGATTGTGGGCGGGGCTTTCAACTCAACCATAGTATGCAAGCTTTACTCCAAAAAATACAATATGGCAGCCCCATAAACAGGACGTGTTGGCTTCAATTTTGAAATAACAGATTTCTTTCTTTCTTTTTTTTTATTAAAGAACAATGTACAACAAGTTTACAAAGTACAGTATACCATACAAAAGTAGTAACAACAACAACAGCCAGGGGTTAATACAACATCATGCACAAAATATTGAAGTTAGACAATACACTGAGTGTTTTAATTGCCTTCCAGATTTTTGAATGATAGGAACTTATAGTTAAATAGATCAATTTTAAAAGTCACAAAGCAAGATTTTTTTCTGTTGAACTTACATTTGTGAATAAATAACTTAGCTAAAAATTAATTAAAAAATAAATTATTTTCTTCTATTCTTAAATAAAATAACAGGAGTGGACAGAGGTGTTTTGTCCACTATATGTACAGTCAGATGTGCCCAGCTGTCGGTGAGGTCATCCACCATCTTATTGGCCTTTTTGAAATTCTTCTCTTTCAGAATTTCTTCAGAGATGCCTGGAATGTTTTCGATTTTGTCTCAGTCTTTGGAAGCATTACTGACATAGTGGTGACAGAATTTTGGGTAAGTGCTTCAGCTTGTTTGAACCCAATACCGTGAGCTTGCTACAGGTCAAAACTAGAATGTCAGAAACAAAAAAGCAACTTCTTTATTGCTGTAAACGTTTCAGTCTTATGGTAAAGCATGGCTTTTATTTTACATTTGATAGTAAGAGATGTTAAAAAAAAACATGACAAGGGATGAATCCTGTCTTATTGGTGCATTGACAAAATGAATTACTGAAAGTTTTGAATGTATTTCTGAGTTAAATCTGTCACATGTCACTGTATGTATGGATCCCTGAATGCAGAATATTTTGTCTTAAAATTCTGTCAAAGGGGAATAAGAACACTGGCTCAAAAATCCACCTACTGAGAAAAAAAACTTACCTTTTCTAAAAAAAGAAAAGTGTAAAAATTAAAAGATTATTAGGGATATGACACAAATATGTAACTAGACTGGGTGATTTGTACAGATAACAGAAACTCAGCTTAAGAAGGAAAAGAACTGTTTCACTGTTGCTAGATGTATTTTGTGAAAAGTTACTTTGTCTTTTACTTGATTTAGAAGCAGTACTGGACATTGTCTTTATCTCACTAGGATTTTATTGTTGTTTGCATGTTTGTGTATGTGATTACATTATAGCTGACTGTATAAAGTGCTATATTTGTGAAATTCAGAAACGGTTTCAGCCTCTCTTTGCTGTACTCCTCTCATAGATTTAGTTCAGTTTTTGCAAGTTTTCGAATGGAAAAAAAAGCACTTATCTCTCACTAAAGTATGTCTTTCCCTGACACAGATCTGCAATCTGACTGTTTTGTCAGGTGGTTAGTGGCATCCTCCGGCTACATTAAGGGTGCTAATTATTGGATGGTTGCAGCCCAGTCATTCAATTTTTTTTCTGGAAAGCATATTGAGTGAATAATTTAAATTTTTATATTTGTTTGTTTTTTACATGAAGGAAGTGAATTGATAGTGGTTTTGAAACAGCTAAAGCTGCATCAAGGAGAGGCTGAATCTGTTGTTTTTCAATGCTCTTCTAATGATGCCTATAATGATCCTGTCTTCCTCTTCTATCTCTTTACATGCTTTCTTTAAACCTATCTACTCTGTTGGCGCCCTATGCCCTCCTTACACTTCCTACTTCTCTGATTAAATCCATCCAATCAAAATGCACTATGAAATCCTCCATCGTGTTTCCCATCCATGCTGCGCCTTGACGTGGTGATGGTGGTGCTGTGATGATGGTGATGGTGTGTGTTTTGCCCCATGTGCCCCTGTTCGACAAAACCCACGACCAACCGCCACCTCCTCCCCACAAATATATATATACATATATATTTATCCACCCACAATTTACTTCAACTTAACAAAAACTTGTAAAACAAATCCTCCTCACCATTCATCTTTCTACATCTTCGCACATGTAGAATCTGGTTGGTTTGTAATTTCTTTCTCAAAGCCTCCTGCTGCATTCTCATTGGCCATGCGATTCCCCGAGTCCTTCTTACCCCTACCCACCCAGTCCCCCCCAGTGCATGCACTTCCTGGATGAGACCTTTTAAACTTTTAGTATTCAAGAACACAGAGAGGTTAATTGTCACATTAGTAAAAACTAAAAATCCTCATTGGGTTTAATAAAATTAATTAATTAGCAGTAGTTTTTATAATGTGTGAATTTTTCATAAACGGCATGGGAACCCCACCAAAATAATTAAAGAGACGTTGCTTGATCTAAGCATGTGCAAAAAATAAAAGTTAAATAAATTAAAGGAATTGTAATTTCAAATCGTTTCTTTGCTGCAATGCAATTTAGCCACAGCTCAGATCATATAAATTATTTAAAATAAACTGTGGGATGTAAAAGTCCTGGTGTTAAAAATGAACAATGCTATGAATAGACTGAGTACATGAGAATAGCATATGATGTTTTTATCATCCGTTATAGAGGAAAAAATAAAAAAGAAGGATGTGTCAAAGTGTCACCAACTCAAGCTGTCTTTATTGAGCTTTATATGACTGTGGCTTATTGTTAATACTTTTTAACAACGACTTGTTGATGCTACATTATAGCTTTATCAAGCAATTTTCAAATTTTGGAGAAAAGCAAAAAAAGTTCAAGTTCAAGTAATTTTGAATCTTACTGAACCTTTCACAAGAAAATGTCCAAAATCTGAAATGATTTAACAACAAATCTGATTATTATTTTTAAATAAAGGAAATTTCAAGTTTTGCTAGCTCCTTATCTTTTTATTTTGTAATATAAAAATGGAAGAACAAAATCATAGAATTTACATGAGACTATTTGATCATGACAGCAAAAACAGAATAAAATAACTTTAGCCTGGCAGGTTGTTCTATCATTTTAAAATGTTGAGCTTTTTTTTTTTTTTGTAGTGCAACAGAACGGTGAATGTTTTGATAATAGTTTCAAATATGCTAAGTCCCACTTGTCCCCTCCTGGTCTGCATGTGGACAGTTCTCAGAGAGTCTGCTGCCGTGCCATGACTGCACCCAGGTCGCATGTTAATCCCTTCCTGCTCCTTCCCCTCCTCCTTCCTCTCACGCTCCTCTTCCGACCTTGTCTGTCGACCACTGATTGTGTGCAGCTGATTGTGTAACGTTACGTTTTATGAGAATTCATAAAAGTTAACAAATGGATACATTAACAAAGCTGATCTTAGCAGATTCAATCAAAGGCAGCTGGACTTAGATTTTTTGAAGAAAACTGAATTTAAAAAAATGTGTGTCTGCTGGACTTTGATTGAATTTACTAGGATTATCGTGTCCTGGATGACTGAGAACCATCACCAAAATATTTACTAAGACTAAAAGTTTGGACCACATTGAATTATTTGATATTGGCTGACTTTTATTTTTAGTAGATACAACTGTACTTTAATTTGAAAACCAATTTGACACTCCCAGTCCCATTCATGCTCTCAGCTTTGCTTAAAATACACTCTGTCTGTGTGTGTGTGTGTGTGTGTGTGTGTGTGTGCGTGCGTGCGTGCGTGCGTGCGTGCGTGTGTGTGTGTGTGTGTGGTTGACAGGCAAAGGTCTTTGTGCTCCAGCTTGTGTGTTGCCTGCTTGCTTTTCAGCGATCAGTGCATTTGGTTAACTTAAAAACAAAAGATTTGAGATTGGATGATGACTTTTAAAATTTTTTGATCTTTTATGCATCCTTCTCTTCCTTACAATTATTATTTTTTTTAAACTTCCCTCTAACTTTCTCTTATTTAAAGTTTACACTTGTATCACCTGAAGGCTTTTATGCTTTAAGTTTTTTGGGTTTGACTTCTTCCTTTGGCCTTTCTTTCCCCAGCTTTTGAGTTAGATTTTGTTTTTTCATTTTAAATTTATATATATATATACTGTATATTGTACAATAGAGAAAGACTGTGACAGTAGATTATAAAGATTTGAGAAACTCACTGTGTTCCATGCTTGTGTCTCAGAATAATTTTATCAACTTAAGCTTCCTGAGGTTGTTCAGAGCGGCTCGCCTCATAAAGCTCCTGAGACAAGGAGAGACGATCCGCATCCTACTGTGGACATTTGTCCAATCCTTCAAAGTATTCAAACATTTATAGATCCACATAAAGTACACTAAATTAGAAGACGTGATGACACTGACAGTTACTTCCTGTCTCCTCTGTGGTAGGCTTTGCCGTATGTGTGTCTGCTCATTGCCATGCTCTTCTTCATCTACGCCATCATTGGCATGCAGGTGAGTTCAGCTGAGAGGCCTGATAATAAGCTTTACATTTTGAAAAATTATTGATATTGTATCAGTTGACTAATTGGGATAGCATAGGACATAAAAAAGAACATACAAAAACTCAGACATATGAGCAATTAAATTTAAATTTGAAACATATTCAAGAATGTCGTCTTAATTTTCTGAAAAGATTTTGATGTGTTGCATGAGTTTTAGTTTTTATATTTAAAAAAATGTTCCCTTGTTATATATTGTGACAACTAAAGCTACGTTTGCTCTGCAGACAAATGCAACCTAAATTTGATTTGTTTTTTTCATGACAGTTTGAACACAACAAAATCTTTTTTTTTTCCAAATCCGTCCCAGTTCTTTTCAGTATGTGGTTAAAAAAATTGGATACATATCTGATGTTTTTCGAACACTCCTGTTGCGTTTCATCCGACATTTTACTTCATCGAGGTGAAGGTGAGCGGCTCAATCCAAGTATTTAGAATACTGGAACTAACCTGGTGCAGTTTAAATCTTGTAGCTCCACACGGCTGCAGCTACAGTCCAGTTGCTTCATATTTTTTTTCTTTTAATTTTCCATGTCCTGGATGACTGAGAATCCAAAGAAACTTATGATAATAACGTTGGTCTCGGACTGTATCGATATCAAAATTACTCGATCAATATTTTAGTTTGTTCCAAAAATACATGTTGCACCAGAAGCAGGTTCAAATGTAAACGCCGAACTAAACAAGCAGATTGCATCATAATTTAATTGACTCTGAATGAAAAACTTCAGAATCGACATGCTAACAAGTAGCATCCATGTTTACTTAAATAAACAGCGTGCTGAATGTGACATCACGTCATTTTCTGTGCATACGGGTCACATCAGCGTTGTGGAGAGTTCACACTGGAGTCTGGTGTAGGCCATATTTAAAATATAATATAAACAGCCATGAAATTATTATGTTTTTGTAAAACATGCATGAAGACCTGCAATGTGAACGTAACCTAAATTAACCCCCAAAATTTGGAGACATTTACCTTCCAAGCTATAATAAAATTTCCAGTAGTGATGTGAAACTTAACTGAAACTGAAACATTAATAATTGTGCAAAGTGACTATCTGATGGAAATGGACTGTGATGTAAAAGTAAATGAAATATAATTTCTTAAACTGATATTTTTTATTTCTATTTTTTCCTTCTATCAAATGTTTTACCAGATTTTGGCAACTAATTTGGCATAAAAAAAATTTCATGTTCCCATATGACATTTTATGTCCTCGGTTTGTAAAAAGCAGCTTGGTAGTCCTGGTCTCTGTTATGTTTCATCTAAGACCTGCGTCACAGTACGAGAAAATCATGCAGATCTTTGCTCTTCCGACAATCTTAAGGAAGTCCAGATTATCGTGATGGCTCTAAAGAAAATCATAGCAGATATTCCCGCCGTGGTTGGTGAGTTAAGAGTGATCTAGTCGGCTCAGAAGGACGTCTGGACCGCTCCGACCTCAAATTGGTGATATTCAACATGTTTGATTTTTGGCCAGATATCACAGTGTGTGTAGTGCTCACCCGAGCTCGCAGCCTGTGAATGAGACGTGTAGCCAATCAGAAAGCAAGGTGACGTAAACACGGAGGGGATTCCAAAATACGGAAGTCAAAAAAACTTTCACGACTCACCAGAAAGTCTGCTGGATGTTAAAAGTCCTATGGAATTATTTTTCCTCTGGTAAAAATAGTCCACAAACAATCAATATTGTTTCTTCCTCGTCACAAATGTTTATTTACTCTGAACTCACGTCTCTCTGGAGGTCACGTGAGATTTTTCCTCGGACATCTGAATTCTCGCGAGATTTCAGGAAGTCTCGCGTGATTTAATAACTGACACCTGGATGTTCCTGAATGAAATATCTTTTCGTGTGTGGTGTGTTGTCTCATGCCGTGTGGCTGTACATCACACACTGTAGGACCAAACCTGTTATATCCATGATTTTTTATCCTCACGTGTGGGCTCTATCAGTCTTTGAAAATCGCCCAACTGTTTTAAAATCTTGTAGTGTGACTCAGGCTTAATAAGTTGCAGAATATGTATAAAGATTTTGTTATGCGATGTAAGTTCTTTTGTTAATATTGGTTTCTTTTTCCACTCTCTGCAAATGTTTAGTTGTTTGGAAACATAGCAATTGACATAAAAGAAGAGAGTGCCATCGATGAGCATAATAACTTCAGAACCTTCATTATGGCCCTAATGCTGTTGTTCAGGTAAACCTTAATTTCTACATTCTTTGGAGTTATCTTGATTCTGAATCTTTAATTTTCGGGGCTTCTAACAAATGTTGACGTGCATCGAGAAATAATTGTGCTTCGCCCATGCATCCTTTCATGCAGGAGTGCTACGGGTGAGGCGTGGCATGAGATTATGTTGGCCTGCCTGGGAGAAAAGAAATGTGACCCAGACTCAGGAAACACAGGAAAGGAATGTGGCAGCACCTTCGCCTACACCTACTTTGTCTCCTTTATTTTCCTCTGTTCTTTCCTGGTGAGAAATCTATTACCTAAACTAATCTCTGACTTTTAATTAGAAGAAAAAAAAAGATTTATTTGTATTCCCCCCCTCCACCCAGATGCTGAATCTCTTTGTGGCTGTCATCATGGACAATTTTGAGTACCTGACCAGAGACTCCTCTATCCTGGGGCCGCATCATTTGGACGAGTATGTAAGGATATGGGCTGAGTACGACCCTGCTGCATGGTGAGTGGCACACACACACATGGACTCACACAACAGCTCTCATCCATGTAAAATCTGAAATAGTTAGATAAATATAATATATACATATTAGCTATATACATAAGTACAAAACAACAGAGGAGGAAAACAATAACAATGTGGGCACATGCTTTGGATGAAATTTAATACCTAACCTTTTACTTTTTCTCCCGTCCCAAAATGGGGCAAAGTCTGAATCCAGGAGGTCTGATGACGAAACATCGTGTCAAAATAAAACTCAAAGTTCAACTGTTAAAGTTGCTCACCTGAGCTAAAAGTTTCCCAGCATTTTTTAATGACTTTCCCTTTTGTTCTTTAACTCCTCTACCTTCTTTCTCAAATTTGGCCTATGAGATAAACATTACCCTCCCCTTTTTATGCTTTTGATTTTACGTGTGTGTGTGTGTGTGTGTGTGTGTGTGTGTGTGTGTGTGTGTGT